ACAAAACAACAGCCATGACTGTGAGCATTGCTTTGGCTGTCGGCCTGATTCGGTCAAGGCCGCGGGGTTCGTAAGGGCCAGACTGGATTTAGTTACCTAATGTACAAATTTTGTTTTACAACAAAAGAAAGTGACTAATTCAGACCAGAAATAACCAGGGCAGAGAAACACAGCTCCCTGTCAGAAATCATCTGCCCTGAAAATCCACTCAAGGTCATCTTTCTGGACAGTTCCAGTGTTGTCCTTTTAATGGAGCCCCTGTCATCACTCAAACTGTATGATTTAATTGCATTAATTGTGTAAATGGTTTGTGATTTACAGAGTGGTTATATAAGGTGTAAATTAAGAGACCGGATTCATAGAAATAGGCCTAATATGGTGTTTCTCACCCCCAAAAAAAGTCAATTCAATTAAGTCAATTAAAAGAGTTGATGTAAAGGTCAAGAATGTGATGAAATGTCTCAAATGCAATAATTTGTTAGACAATGATCGAGCCCTGTGATTGGCTGGCTTGTCTGCTGACTGAAGGATCTCTGGCCCTGCATTGTTCAGTTGGTGATGTACAGTATAAATTAAGTTCTTTTCAAAAGATTGACAACATTTTAAAAATTATCGATTACTGAGATTTAAGAAAGAAAGAGATTCCCCATTTGAAATGTATGATTTAAAACAAGTAAAAAAAATAAAAATATATATCTAAATAACAATTTAATGTATTTAATTAATAAAAAATATTCATTTAAATCTAAAATCTTAAGACATATGTAACATATGCGATTTTTGCCTTTAGATAGGATACTTGTTGCCTCTTTTATGAACGAAATGAACCAAATGACTCGAAAAAGATTTGTTCATTTTGATGAACGAGTTCGAACAGGAGTCACGAACCTGCATCACAGAACAGAGCAAGGCGAGCATTTGAGCTTATAAAACTTTAACTTTTTTATTTATTTTTGAAATGAGCGATCGTTTCGCTAGATAAGACCCTTATTCATCGTCTGGTGTCGTTTAAAGCCCTTTGAAGCTGCACTGAAACTCTCATTTGGACCTTGAACCGTTTGGTTCCCATTGAAGTCCATTATATGGAGAAAAATCCTGGAATGTTTTCATCAAAAACCTTCATTTCTTTTCGACTGAAGAAAGAATGACATGGATATCTTGGGTCACAAGAGGGTGAGTAAATTATCAGCAAACTTTTTTTTTTTTTTTTTTTAAGTGAACTACTCCTTTAAAGCTTACTTTAAAGATGCTATTTAAATAAAATAATAAAATTTATAATAAAATCATACATTCTAATTTAATTTCTGCATGGCACACATAACCTAGCTAGTCGGTCGCATAAGGCAAACTTTGAAACATGACCACAACTACTCCCATCCGGTAGTTGTTGGGGGAAATGTTACGTTATGTTTTTTGGGGGTCTGACGTCTGACACTGCAGTATTAACACTGCTGGTACTCATAATGAAAGCTCTTATCATGCCAAGGAACCGCTAGCTTCCAGCTACCAATTGGCTGCATAATTTATCAGTAAACCGCTGATTTATCATGCATGTGTTCGACATTGTTTATAGTACAGATGTTGATAATAGTTAATGATCCTAAAGGTTAATTTCACTCTTTCAGCCTCTGTTGAATCAAAGTGTGCTCTGTTGAAAGCACATTTGACATTTAGGTCATGCATGCATGTGCGAGGCTTGTTGTACCGATACTGGTTTCAAAGGAATTACCTCACAAATACGGCTAAAAATGTTTGAGAAACTCCTAAAATTGCCACCATTTGTCAATCACACACATTTTTTTTGTTGGACACCAAATGTGATAAATGGTGAACTAATTAAGTCGATATTTGCTTGCATATCGTCCATTTCTACTCCATGAAAATCAGTCTTTGAGTCAGACAGCATTTATGTCTGAAACATTAGATGAACTGAAAATAATAATGATTTGTATAAACCATAATTATACATTTTTTGGCACTCAATGCTTTCTTTTTTGCTCTTGTTCTCTCTCATTTTCAAAGATTAGATCAAGACGTGCCTCACTCTCTCAGTAATGTTCTCCACCTGCACAAATACACACACGCTCACTCTTGAACCCTTACAAAAATAAAACCATCAGAACAGTATGACAGCCTCTCAATTTGGGCTGTCTGAGTGTGATGATAAGGATGATTAATTCACTTCCCCTGCGATGATTCAGTAGCGTTTATGATTGCCCATGGAAATGCATTAAAGACCTCATAAAACCCTTCATTAGGCTGAACAGAAACACATATTTTGCTGAGCAGGCTTTTAACTGAGATCTTGCTAGAAGTGCTAGAATTACAATGCTCAATAAATAGATGAATGGTACTTGCTCTTTTTTGTTGATGATATCAACAATGTAATTGTGAACATTGTATTTTCTAAAGTAGCCTATACTAAAAGGATATTACTTGGAAAAAACACGCTCAATTTAAAATCACTAAAAAGCTGTCACTCATCTCAGTTTATATGATC